AAAATATAAGAATATTATTGGCCCGTGCATTGCACGGGTACAATACTAGTACTCATAACAACACAACCCTTTTGTCACAGAGAGCATTATTGTTAAATAGAACAATTCACATGTGATTAGAGATGCCGAATCAAGATTTTCATTGTCACTAAAGAACATTGATTGCTCACTGAGAAGGTGAAATAAACGTCTTTCATCGACAGTTGAATACTTGTTAGGTGGATGAAAAAGATGAGTATATGACCATGGGACAATTCTCTTTTTTGAAAGTCAATTGTGTTAATATCTTAAAGAAATTAGCATAATAGTGTTAAGAATAGATGAATTACAACAATAATCATGTAGTGTCAATAAGAACTTTTTGATATGAAGATATGCCTTTTTCTAAGTTTGTAAACAACTCTTCAAATTTCATTAAGAAGACCCTTGACCCAACATAGAAAACAATTTTTTTAAACTCAATGGCATGTTTGAACCTTTACTTTAAATGTTAGCAAGTCCCGACCATCGTTATATAACTTGTAAATTTTTCACCAGACAATGTGAATCCAAACATCATATTGTACCCTCTAATATGTGGAAATATTTTGCTATCAACGACATATATAATAAAAGGTGTTGAAAAACCACAGATGTGTTCTTAATAGCGGAAATTGAACTTTTCCCCTTCTGCAACAAAGATTATACTTACGAAATGAAGTTTTTTTATTTTTTTTATTTTTCTTGATAGTACATAAACAATTGGCATTTTTCACACTCAATACGTGGATCTTGAATATTAAAATATCCTAAAACAAAAGAAATCTAGTATATGAATAATACATAGTGTTTAATAAAAACCAAATTGCATTAAATTATGAGCATACAAAACAACGTAACCTAGTCCACCATATCCAGCCTACTCCACAAGATTGGATTACAGACTTAAAGTCCTACATTTCTGAAGGCAAGCTGTCCGTGGACGAGGCTGAAGCAAAAATTGTGAAGCTCCGAGTTGTACTGCCCGAACAAATTTCTTTGAGATGTCTACACAGCAACAAGGCACAATTGGCAATGAAAGAAGTACATGTTGACGTATGCTCAGGCCACCAAGGCCCTTATACAATGTCCAGAAAGCTCTTACTGCAGGGGTACTTTTGGTCGAGCATGGCCAACAATATGAGTGTGCGAATATTGCACGAAGTTGCACCGCTTTCCAGAAAGTTTCAAGAGCCCCAAGACGCCCATCAGTGAAATACGCTCATATTAGCACTTCAATCCTCTTCTCACAATGGGGGTTGACCTTGTCGGACAGCTACCACGAGGCACAAGCAACAACAGGTGGATAATAGTGCATATTGATTACTTTATTGAGTGGATATGATCGAGGGTGAGCCTCTGGAAAGCATCACCGAGATCTAGTGCATGAAGTTCGTTACTAAGAAAATCCTCATTCGTTTCGGGCACACAGTTCGAGGTCAAAAAATTTCAAGACATGTTTGTCAGCTGGGGGATCAAACACAACACAGACTCTCTTGCATATCCTCAATGTAATGACCAAATGAGAAGGCTAATTGAACCATCCCGAAAGATCTAAAACAGAAACGCATAGACAAGGGTGGAGGATGGGTCAAAGAGCTCCCAAAATATCTTATAGGCAGACATACTAATGTGAGTTTTCTCGCACTTAAAATAAATAATAATATAGGGTGTAAGTACGAGTGTCGTCTCCACAGGGACGAAAAAGGGGAATCAGAAATTAACTAAATTCAGTGATTAAAAAAATAAAATAAATGCGATGTGCGATATTTGGATTTTTCAGAAAAACAAAATGCTAATAAACGATTAAAATAAATGGTTCGTTCTAATTAATGACGGAAGGGAACATGAATTGATTCTGGGGTAATCAGATTTCTGACTGATCAGACTCAATCACATGAAAATTATTTAATTGAGCAACGCTAATCAATACTAATCAATACTACATATTAAGTTCTTACCGCTCTCGCGGCGTAGAGTTCAATAATTTAGGGAACCAGGCTGATCTCTCATGCGACATATTCCTACATTATTGCCAAAACGAGCGAGCGTACGACCCCTAATTATTACTAATCTCTTAATGAACAATTAAGTGTGTGTGTGAGTGTGTTAAAATGTCCTAAAATAAATTAGATATCTCTTAATTTATTCTATGTGAAATTATAATCCTAGTTGCAGTTCTAGGTTACAAGAGATATCAATTAAATTATTCATACACAAATTAAATAAAGATAATGCAATTAATCCTTCTAGAAATTAACCCTAGATCACGATTAACCCTTTCATCAATCTCAAATCCCTAATTAAAACTACTCACAATTCATAATTGAATAATCAACAGAATTGGGAAAGAAAGAATTATTTGTGCTTAATTACAAAGCTGGAACTTACAAAGAACCCAAAATCTTGATGAACAAGGTTTGAAAATCTCTCAAAAAACATAGTATGGGTTATCTCTCTAAGCTCCGTAACGAAAAACAGACCAAACAGTGCTGAATTTATAGAAAACAGCAAATGTGGGCGAATTTCGGTCTGTGGGGTCGTCCGCGCGGACTTTCGCGTGTCAAAATTTTGTTCCGCCCGCACGACGTCAGACGTGCGGGCACTTCTGAGGCATGTTTCTGAACCGCGGGGTGTGCGGTTCAGACTTTTTGACTTCTTGCTCTCTGAATCACCCGCGGGGGCGTGCGGGAATGATCCGCGGGGCTCGCAGACGTCTCTTGAACCGTTTTCTTGCTCTTTTCTTCTCTGTTCCTTCCCGATCGATCTTATCTTCAATCTTTGACCTTTCTTGCCTCAAATCACGCTTCTAAATCACCCCATGGACCTCCGATGTTTCTTGCTATCTCTCGAATGCGTCCCAAATCTTCTCATATTAAGCTCAAATGCCGACTTTGTGACTTGAATAAATTAGAAAAAGTGACAGAGCTCAATCCCAACACGCATCAAATGCGAAATACGAACTTATCACATACCGACCTACGCCGTGCTAGGTTATCAGATGAGTTTTTTGAATGGGGGTGTACAGACTATTGTAAACGACTAAAGGCTACAACAAGTTTATATAGTGCATGTGTCATAAGTTTGGTTAGGTTTTGGTTGTGCATTGGGCTGGTATGGGCTGTGAGAAACGATGATGTTAATTATCTTATTCTTATTTATTTATTTATTTATTTATTTATTTATTTATTTATTTATTTATTTATTTATTTATTTATTTATTTATTTATTTATTTATTTATTTATTTATTTATTTATTTATTTATTTATTTATTTATTTATTTATTTATTTATTTATTTATTTATTTATTTATTTATTTATTTATTTATTTATTTATTTATTTATTTATTTACTTATTTATCATGAACTACAAAAAATTGTAAGTAATTAGGTTGTTATTTACAATTGTGTTGGTTAATTTGTTTCAAAAATTTATAAATTTGAGTTGTCAAGTGCATTGTACACAAATGCACTAATTTGTCTTCCATACACTTAAATGCCCAAAAGTAGAATATTAAAGTTAATAAATACTCCGTAGTATTTAAAATACCAGATAAGACCCTATCAGATCAAACCAGATAGACTAGAGTTGAATGGTTAAAAAATACACAGAGACCGACATTTATAAGACCAAACCAGATCACTAGCCGTAATAATATATTCCTAATTATAACTTTTTTACATATTTTTTTGTAGCTCTTACATTTATTATTCTTTTAATACATTCCACCTATGTAGCACTGATACGGGTGCGCGGAAATGCGGAAACGGGTACGGGGATACGACAAAACCAAAAAAAGTATGATACAGATACAGGACCATATTTATAAATATTAAAAGTTATGGGAGTCTATTTATCAATATTAAAATTTACAGGGGTGTATTTATAAATATTAAAAATATAATTTTTTTGAAAAAAATAGACATATATTATCCACCGACGTCTACTCATTCATGGCATTGAAGCGTTTTACGTTTTCAGGATACTTAAAAATAAGTTAATATTTTATCTCATGTACACTAGTGCATCTTGATGTCATTAATTTAAAATAAGAAATAAGTCAAACAACTACAGTTTTGAAATTAAAAGTACAAGTACTCAAAGTTCTAGAATAATGAAGATAGAAAACAATATTTTAAAAGTTCTAATGCATATTTCCAGGAATAATTACAATAAGGGATAAAAGGGTGAGTGAATTAGGAATAGGCTTATTAGTTGTGTACCACATAAAAGCAAGGTAAAAATTATTTCTAACTTTTCATTTTTTAAGAACTTTATTATGTAAATTTTGAGTGTTTTTTTAAAAATAAAATGGAAGATTTTTTTTAATAAAAAGTTGATACGTGTATCTGTCACGATACGACTATCCGAAATTTTAAAATAATTATCGAAAAAAACGGAAACTTTTAAAAATTGCAGATACGACCTGAGAACGTATGATACAAGTATTCTAGAGTATCTGATACGACAACGTTTCCGACACCGATACGACACTCTAGTGAAGTATCTGTGCTTCATAGCATTCCACCATTCGATTTGTCTAAATACTTTTTTTTCACTAATAACTTATACAGAGTATATATATTTAAGATAAGATGAGATTAGTACCTTTAGGATTGTATTCATTCGACCAGATTAAGGGCCGGTAATGCATTAATCGGACTCACGAATCCTGTTCTTGGGCAGTCCAAGATCTCAATTACCGAATCCTTTGAGCTCTCCAGGCTTCTCCACACTCCACTTCCACACATCTACACGACTAAACACTTCCTTGCTCGACAATCATGACGTTTTGGCTCTTTCAGTAACGAATAATATTTTCCGAGAACCTCCCTGTACATATAACAAAATTGAGATATTAAAGCCATGGTGAGGATAATACCAATGGCGTCGTCGATTCGGCCGTCGCTCTCATCGCTCAGGTTCTCTGGCAGCTCGCGCTTTGGCATCTCTCTCTTCTCCCAGAATCCTTGCCGTAGACTCACTTCTCTACATCTTGGTGGCGGTACATGCTTTATCTCTTCAGTTGCTGTTTTTGAGCCATTCTTCTATGAATTTTATTTATAATACCCATTTCCCAAACTCTAAATTCTCAGTTATCAAGCAGCTGTTTTTTCAAACCATTAGTACTGTACTTGATATTTTTACGATTCTTTTTGTATATCCATTAATTGTATGTGCATGCATATTTAAAATCTGCGTTTGATTATTTTTAAATGTATAAGTAAAACGAATAAGTAAGGCTCTTGTCAAAATGAAAAGTCTGGGGGGCTGCCTCTGACAAGGGAAGGCTTGCCTCCTATACACTATTGTTGTGGGATGCTTCCCCAGACCCTCACCTTGCCATGATGTCAATGTGCACCTGGCTGCCCGTTAAGGACAAAGAATATATGCTCTTTGATGTGTGAACTGAGTTACTTATTATATTTTACTTTATTTTTCCTGGCAATACTTGATCAGTGAAACTCTGAGTGTATTGCATAACCGTGTTACAAAGTGGATTCTTTTTGCACTTTTTGCGAGTGCATGAATTGCCATTCATTTGGCCATAGTTTTAGATGCTTTGCCAAAAATGAGAGTACAGGTGATTCCAATCTTCAGTACTAGCCTATTAGCCATCACTAGGATCTAATACTTAAAGTATGCCTTCAATTTTCATGATTCAGGTGACTATTATTTTTGGCATTGTATAGTTATGTTAGTAATATTATCACCATCAGATGGTTAGGATCAGAGAGTAACATCACTTGTCTTTCAGCCTTTTTGTCTTCCCAATTCCAGATTGCATCTTCATCAAATTCTACATCTCCGCTAACCAAAATCTTCTATGAGTCAAGGTTGAAGATTCGATATCCTTTTGTCTTAGAATAGTAGCAGATAAAGATTCCTTGCTCCGCCTTGTCGTCAAGCATTCTTCTTTTTGCACCTAGAATAAGAGTATATCAACTGAGCCAAACACCTTCAAAATGTTCGGCAGTTGGTTTTTTCTGCTCCAAGCTTAAATTGGAGTTTTTTCTTGAACTGCATTCGTAGGGAGTCTGTTAAGCATGTACACAGTAGTGTAAGCAGCATCAGTCTAGATTTTTTGTCATGTTATTTTCTGCCAATGTGTATCTGGCCATTTCCATAACATTTCTTTTTTTCTTTCTGCAACTCCACTGTGTTGAGGTGTATACCCATACCCTACAATGAGTTGATGTTCCACACCTTTATCTTTAATTCTTTACAAAACTTATCAAATTCTGCTGAAGTGTACCCCTTTCCTCTATCAAATATATTCACAACAACTAAATTTAATATCTCCACCACTTCCTTACTAGCCATCACATACTAACAGTGGTATCAGAGCTTAACATCTTCAATTTGGAGTCACACTGGTTTCAAAAGAGCTTTGAATTTGTTGAAGATTTGGAAGACTTCTAATCTCTCTCATGAAATACACCCAAGTCATTTGAGTGAAGTCATCAACAAACAGATGAAGTATCTTTTTCCATGAAGATATAGTGTTCTTTGAGGACCACATAAATTTGTATGATTGTATGAACAAGCTCCAATTCTTCTTTGCTCTCCACGTTTGACCTTTTGGAAATGCTAGTTGGTGGCTTGGTGTTGCTTTCCAAGTTAACAAGGCTCACATTGTCCTTTAGTTACATGTATCATCAGAAAACCCCGCACAGCGTTCTATATTTTTAGGTTTGCTAGTGCACACAAGTACAAGCGTCCATACCTTCTATGCCATAGCCTAGTCTCAATTATGTGAGCTCTATTTGAAGTCTCTCCTGAATGATTCCACTTCAATGAGATAATTTTGTTTTCCATACTTTCCTTATTCTTCGGGCAGTAAATAGTACAATGTTCATTCTCAAAAACAAGTGAATTACCATTTTTTTCCATCTGAGCCACACTAAGTAGATTTTCAGCAAGATCCAGAACAAGAAGAACATCATTAATGAGCTTTGTACCTTGCTTCGTAGCAACATCAATTGTGCCTTTGCCTTCGGACTTCACAATGTCACCATTTTCCATCCGAACAAGAGTCTGGACACATGATTTATACAATCACTATCGATTAATCATCTCCCTTTATTGGTGGTTGTTATTACTTGGCACGCATAGAATAATTATTCAGTGTTACTGCTACTTGAAAATGGGCCTGCACCTCAGACTCCATTTGCTTCTGTCTACAATCCTTCTCAATATGACCAAACCTCTTGCTATGAAGACATTGAGGTTTACCCTTGAATTAGCAATACTTTTCGGCATGGTTTGTCTCCTCGCAAGTGCCATAAGGAGGAATTCCCCTCTGATTGCGGAGATTTTTTTTTTTATAATTACCAACCATTATCCCCATAACCATTCTTCCACTAGTTGTTGCTTCTTCTAGAATCTGATGACTTAGATTTATGTTTTGATAGGAAAGCATCTTTGGAAGACGTTTGTGACATTTAATAAATTTCTGTTGGTGTGCCAGCAAAGAGCCTATCAACCCTGACACATTGAGTTGTGATATGTCCTTTGACTCCTCAATTACGGTAATAATGGTATCAATTTTTTTGTTAAGGTTCCTAAAATTTTCTGCATAGTTATTGCGCTAGAAACATCTTCTTCACAAAATTTCATTTTAGTTACAACCTCTGTCAATCTGAAGGTGCAAGTCTTCAACTTCCTCAAAGCATTGGGATGAATGGTTGTTATCTTCTCATCTCCATGAAATTCCTGGTTGAGTGAATTCCTAGCTTCTGTTGCAGATGAAGCACATGTGTTACTGGAAAATGTGACCTCCACAACAGAATTACGAACATAAGACAAAGTTTTGGCGTCTTTTAGTTCATCTTCCCTTATTTACTTTAACTCTGCTTCGGTGTACAGTGTGTCAGTGTACTTGACATCTTCACTATGACTATTGTTGTTGGGGGACATTCTCCACTATCTTTGAAGTGCATTCGCTCTCAAGAAAAACTTCATTATGATGCACTAATAGTCATAGTTTTCTCCTCTAAATATTGTAGGTGCTGACATAGAGATGCTGTTAATGTATTTGTTGTAGAACCCATTTTGGGATAGGTGGTCCATAAGCCCATTCAAGAAACCCCCAACTCAATTTAATATCTCTACCTCATCTTTTACTGTCCAGCACATACTAACAAGTCAGTTCCTGTCGTGGCTCTTTATTTTGTTATTTTATAGTGATGAGTGGAACAGCTTTTTCCAAATAGTCTGAGGTAGACCTCATTGATGGGGATTTCAGAAAAAAATTAGTATGCTTCAATGCTTTTCACTTACACTGTATTATTGGTTATCCTTTAGCAGTTCCACAGTTGCAATCTTTTGGCTTTAAAGCTACTAATAACATGCATCGAGAAAAGGGTGGGAGTATGTCATTGAGTGCAGCTGGAAATATGGCACGCACAAGCACTACTGCTACCAATGAAAATGTCTTAGAGTGGGTTAAAAGAGACAAAAGAAGAATGCTTCACGTTGTTTACCGGGTCGGAGACTTAGACAGAACAATAAAGTAATGCCACTTATGCATAATCTGCACCACTATCTTTGCCTTTTCTTTTCTCAACTAGCATGTGATACTCTTGTATTCATGATCGTGTTATATCCTAATGTGACTGCAGGTTCTATACTGAGTGCCTAGGGATGAAACTTTTAAGGAAACGTGACAATCCCGAGGAAAGATATACAAATGCTTTTCTTGGATATGGACCAGAAGATTCTCACTTTGTTATTGAGCTCACTTACAGTAAGCAGTGCCTACACCAGTTGCTTGTATTTGAATTTTCTTTATTCCTTGTAATACCCCTGTATTTAATTGCCTTCTTTTGGTCTTGGATGTTGCTTCCAGATTATGGGGTTGACAAATATGATATTGGATCTGGTTTTGGCCATTTTGGGATTGCTGTTGAGGATGTAAGTTTACATTTCAATATTTGCTAAATTAATTTATGTAGTATATTGTCATATACCTCTGTGCCTAAAGAAGTAGTCCGCTGAAGAGGCTAAGGTTCTCAGATGAGGCCAAGGGTTAATCCAATCCTTGTTATATTCCAGCTAAGAAGTCCATGTACACTGGGCCGAGCTAGACGGAGGAGGCCGAGGGAACCAACTTCTGCCTCGGCCTCTTCGACTCTTCAGGATGAGGCCGAGGGGACTTGCTTCTGCCTCGCCCTCTTCTATTCTTCACGGCAAAGCCGAGGGCACTTGCTTCTGCTTCGACCTCATCGACTCTTCAGGACAAGGCTGAGGGAACTTGCTTCCTCCTCGGCCTCTTTGAACCTTCAGGCCGAGGCCAAGAGAGCTTGCTTCTGCCTCAGCCTTGGCCACCGATTCTATACTTGGCCGAAATCCAGCACCCAAAGACACACCGCAGGGTTGATGTCACGAAACCTCCTGCTGACATCATGGATTGCAGGGCTGATGCCATTATATTCATAACATGCATCGTGCTGATGTCACTTATCCCCAAGATAGCTAGGTGCACTTATACTTTTTACACTGGCTCATAGCTAGCTTAGTCTTCAAGTTATCTACCTACTATAAATACTCCTGACATGGAAAGGGTTCGCATTTTGAGATTTGTATTGTTACTTTGCCAATTTTAATACTCACTATCTCTCTCTAAACTTACCACCTACATTACTGTTAGCTCACTTACTCAAGCCTGGTTTCCATAATTGATCTTTAATAGTACTCATTTTGTCATGCAAAATATAAGGCTATTTTGCATTTAGCTTGGTTTAGTGAAAAGAAGTAAAATGTACTCCCTTTGTCCCATTTCAAGGTTTCCTAGGTGGTTTACGATGATTGATTGATAATAAAGTTAGCTCTTCTCTTTATATTAGTATTAATAATTAAAACTTACATATTGCTAAATTACACTTGAGTTTTATTGTATCGATAAAACCTAATTCAGATATGATAAAAATATATATATAAAAATGGAGTGATATGTTAAGGAACACGGGTAGAGTAAATGAGCTAAAAGTAAAGTAGGTTGTGAGTTTAGAGAGAGAAAGTAAGTAGTGAAATTGGCAGAGTAACCATACAATCTCAAAGTGCCAACTCCTTCCCACATGTCGGAAGGGGTATTTTGTAATTAGATAACTTGGAGATTAAAGTACACATGTCCTTTGCTATCTTGGGGATCACGCCTAAGTAACATAAGCATGCCTAGAAAATGTATCATGACGTCAGCCTGCAGCGTACCACTGGAATGTAGGATTTTGGCCAAATATAGAATCAATGGCCGTCTGGCCAAGGTGGAAGCAGGTTCCCTTGACCTCATCCTGAAGAGTCATAGAGACTGAGACAAAAGCTGGTTCTTCCGGTCTCGTCCGTCTAGCTCGACCCAGTGTACGTCAACTTCTTAGGTTGATTATACCAATGGTTGGATTCACCCTTGGCCTCGTCAGTTGGGCCAATCTGTGGATGGCTTGTTTGGGCCTTGAGGTACATGACAATATACTCAGATCAAAAGAGAGTTAAGTTGACTATATGATCAGGGTAGAAGAACCTTAAACTGGGTTGAAAGAGTATTTTACTTTCCAAAACTTTACTTCAAGTGGCCTAAAAAGGAAAGTAAGATATGTAATGGGGGATAAAGGGAACATGTTGACATGGAAAATTTGACTTGTGTGTCCCCTCTGGGGTTGAATACTTGAATGTGGTGGTTGGGGTATGCAGTGTTCATATTTTTTTACTCACTCATTACCAAGCACTATCAGACATACCCAAAAATATGTATTTTTCCTGCTGCTAAACAAGTTTCCTTCCATGACCCTGATGTGATTCAATCACTTATGCAACTTTGAGGTTGCTTTTTCTTTTAATGCCGTAGATCTTACTTCTTCGTTACGGGCATTCACTTTATTCTGAATGCCTTTATTTAACTTCCTTTTTATGTGATACATTTTAATCTGAAATCTTAATTCTTAATACATTTTCAACTGATTATTGGCATGAGTAGGTTACAAAGACAGTGGATCTCATAAAGGCTAAAGGCGGAAAAGTAACCAGGGAGCCTGGTCCCGTCAAAGGTGGAAGCACAGTAATTGCTTTTATTGAGGACCCTGATGGTTACAAATTTGAACTTTTGGAGAGGGGCCCTACGCCCGAGCCCATGTGTCAAGTAATGCTTCGAGTTGGAGATCTTGATCATGCCATAAATTTTTATGAGAAGGTATAGTTTATCAGTTAATATGAGAATGCTTTCTTGATTCATAGTCTTTCATAAGTTTTCTCTCTACATTCTAATTGCCCCTGATTAATCTTTTAGGCATTTGGCATGGAGCTTCTTCGCACACGTGACAATCCTGAATACAAGGTATGCCATTTCCTTATTTGAATATTGACTCGAGAATTAGTAGCCCGAGGATATATGTGTGGAATATAGAAATATATTTTAAATGGCTTGCATTTGTTCTTGATTTTTATCTATGTTAGTATTTTGGATTATTTCCATCCTGATCCAAAATTGTCTTCAGGCTTTCCTTGGATGCAACTATATTTTCTGGCAAATGCTTGCGCACGCACATACAAGTTTTTTGTTTAAATCTTAAATGTATTCAATAATTGGGAGTTTGAACTGAGGGCAGCATCTCTATTGGGGCTCACCTGTTGATGCTCCAAATTGAAATCCTCCTACGCAGAGGATTTCAGATGTGGATCAAATTTGACCGATTCAACACTCTAAATGTTGAGTTTGAGTCAATACTCTATTGGTTGAGCTCTTTCCAAGTTAGTCAAAGCTGTAGATTCACAGGATCCAATTCTGGTTAATAAATTTTTATTTAATTTTTAAATCATCAATTTCTATGATCTATTAATTTGCAGTTTTGGAATTGTACTTTAACATTAGGTAAAACAAAAACTTATTTATTATCAAAAGTATGCTTCAAGTGTAGAAGGAAATAGCAATCCACGGATTGGGTTTCTCCCTAGTGGCTTATTGTCGCGTAGGGTTTTGTCTCCCTAGCGGCTTTGCCATCGCGTAGGGTTTTCTTCCGCCAATTTTGTGCGGCTCTTCTTCTCCATACTTCCGCCAATTTTGTGCGGCTGCAGCTTTTGAAGAAAACAAATCCAAGGTTCAAAAAATGATAATCATGTCTTCTAAGGACGATCTAGAGAAGTGTTGTCTCATTCATGCAATTGAGGAGGAGGTCGAAGAGTTAGTTTCTGGCGAATCAACATAGGTAGAGGGCTGTGGTGGGTTGAGCAAGGGAGAAAATAGATTGGTGGTCCGCCCCCCTCCTGAACCGCCGCCTTGGAGCGATCGAGATACTAGGTTTTGGAAGATTTATCAGTTATTTAATTTTTTATGGTTTTATTTTCCCGTTTTTTTATGTTGCTCTGTTTTTTGTTGAAGTCTTTAGTTCTAGGTTTACAATTATGATTGACAAATCTGCTAGATATTATGTCAATAGAAGGATCTATATGGCCAGTATGATTGCTGTGTCACACCCGTTTGGTGGTTAGCGATTCATATTGCTCTTTCAGGGGTGAGCGTCTCCGAGTCTAGCCGTAGGGTTGATAGTGCTAGTTGGTTAGGGATAGTTGTTCTCAGAGTTGGTCTTTTTGAGTTTGTTGTAACGATTCCTCTCCTATGATTTTAATATAAAGTGGGTTGTTTTGATGATAAAAAAAGTGAAAGAAATACTGTCCTATATGGGGAAAACTTTGGGTCCTCTAAAATGAATTTTTGGGTTCTAAAAGAGTGCCTCATGGATGGTAATGTATGAGGGGGGTGGTTTCATATGATGGGGGAACAAAGGTGGCAGGTGAGTCACATTTTGAACCAATTTTTATTCGTGTTGGCTTCATGATTCATGAATATATATGCCCTAATTCAATTGGACATTCAAGCTTGGTGCCATTTTGACTATTGAACCCTAGCTACCTTAAAAATTAAAATAATAATATTAAATACAACAACATAACCCCAGTGCCGCAAAGGCTCCACCTACGGTGGGGTAGGGGGGGCGGGGGCGGAGGTACGCAACCTTACTCCTATACTAAAGCACAGAGAGATTGTTTCTGGATGACCCATGGCGTGGCATTCAGCCATCCTGTTTGGTTTTCCTTTAATTTTGGAGATAAATGAAATTAAAACATTTGTGGGGGGGGGGGCATCATTGATCAGATCTTCCTTTTTATGCATTCTCCAAAACTTGAATTCTTCACTTCTCTCTCCTCACTTTGCCACCCCATGCTCTTCATTCTTTTATCCTCTTCAGCCTACCATTGCCACCAACAAGTTCACCGACATTTGACCTTTTTCTGCCCTTACCTAGCCTTCAGTCCAATGGCATGCCCTTTTTTCTCCGAGTCATCAAAGTAGGGAAATGTCATGAGAGATCAATAACTTCATCTATTCTTTCATGGCATAACTCCATTCCATGCACACACTTTTACCAGTAAACAGCCTATTAGTTTTGTTCATGCCCTCAAATCAAGTCCATACACAAATTGATAGTTAATATTTGAAGGCATGAGTAAATCCAAGCTAGCTTTGGATGACAATTTATTAAAATTGGAGTGTGCAAATAGTGTTCTTTTTCCACTGCACTATTCTTAATCAACCTGTTAAAAATTTAGGAGTTTGGACGTCTGACACATTTCTACATAGTTGTTGTTAAATTCCATATTACATCCCTTTTAATCATAACTACAATTTAGAGCCAGGAAAGACTCAATTTAATCCCAACATAAGATTTCAATTTCTTTTGTTGTCATAATTTTCTTGTTTGAGTCTTTTAGTATTCATCTATGCAGTATACTATCGCAATGATGGGCTATGGCCCTGAAGATAAGAACGCAGTAATGGAGTTGACTTATAATTATGGTGTTACTGAATATGACAAGGGGAATGCTTATGCACAGGTAACACTTCCTTAAAACTAAATAATAATTTTGTGATGCATGCTATATTGATGCAATTTTGGACGCGATTTTCACTATTGGTCGTCCGAAAACAGTCTCTCTATGCTTTAATACAGGGGTAAGACTACGTACATCCGCCCCCCTTACCCACCGTAGTGGGATCCTTTGTGGCACTGGGGTAATGATGATGATGATGATGATATATTGATGAGGTAGAAGATTGATGAGAGTGATAGCTCTTTGATTCGCTTGATTGATTTGATTTTGATATGATTTTGATATGATTGTAAAACCTTAATTTGCTTTATTTCAGGAAATCATTTTCTCAGGATTTCCCTTTCCTTGTTTTAGTCGTTCATAAATTCTCATTCTTGGAATCCCCTTTTTTTAAAGGGAGCTTTGCTATGCTAATAAAAACATCCAAGAAAGAATCAAAAAGAAATTCATTAGGAAGAATTCAATGAGCAATATACAACAACACCACCATCCAAGAAATCAAGGAGCAAGATAACTCCTCAAATTCCAAAGGAGAAAGATAACCCCCTAAAATTCCACGACTGTCTCATTTATTCTTTCAATTCAATCCCGTGAGGCCGTGACGGAAGAATCCCTTTATTTAACATTATGGTTCCGTTGCCGGCGTCATGGGGAATCCCATGCTTCCTGCTGATCAGTATGCACTATGCACTATACACTCCTCTCAGAGATACAAAAGGAGTTACATAAGTTGACAAGCTAAGGACCTTCACTAGCTGCAAAATGCGGTGCAGAAGGTGCAACTAGCTCTGCAGCTATTGAAGGAGTCCGTTGAGACACTTTGTAATCAGCTTGACCACTTTTCCCAATCGGTGGGATCCTTGGCAGCTGAAGAATCACCTCCATCAGTAGACACCTCATCCGACAAACTCCCTCCTCAACCACTGCAACTTATAGTGCCAATGCTGTCTGTGACACCTACAATGCAGACTGTCCCGCTTGAAAAACACTTCAAAACAATTAAACAACCTACTTCTACTTTTGAGATCCATTCAGGCTCACCAAAACTGTCCCAGTTAAGTGTTTTCTCTCAAGAGAGTCTCTGATGGATTACACTCACCTTCGCTTTAGTTCACCTCTAGAACAAAATTTCAATCTCCTGAAAAGAGCAATGCCACTTTTTATTAGAGCAATCATTCAGCGCTGAGTTCAATTTTCTAGCAGCAGCACAAGTTTGATTTTCAGGAGGGGTGTAATGATGCATGCCATATTGTAAGATTATGGAAAGATAAAAGAACATGTAGAGATTGAGGAGAGACAGCTCATTGATTTGCTTGAGAATATGATGGAATAAAGCAAAATGGCTCACTAAACTGTCCGCACTTCTATATTATGAAGCAACATTCAGTCCATGCAATTTTCGATGTGATTTTCATCATGGGTCATTAGGAAACATTCTCTCTGTGCTTTAGTATAGGGGGTAAGGCTGCGTACATCCGATCCCCCTTACGGTGGGGGGAGCCTTGTAGCACTAGGGTAATGTTGTTGTATGATTTTAAAACCTTAACCAGCTTATCTATTTTAAGAAGTCATTTTTTAGGATTTCCCTTTCCTTGTTTTAGGGCTTGCTTGCAATCAATTAAAAAAAGTGATTTTGGCTTTTTTTTTAAGAAAAAAGCACTTATTTTACCAAACACTATCAACTTTTACTTCATCGATTTTCGTGTAGAATCTACTTTTTACTTTTTCTATTACACAAAAAGCACTTATTTTACCAAACACTACCAACTTTTACTACTAATCACTTTTTCCCAAAAAGTGCTTTTATTTAAGCATAAGTAGTTGCAAACAGAGCCTTAGTTGTTTATATGCATGTAGTCCCTATTATAAAAGGAAGCTTTGCTATGATAATAAAATATCCAAGAAAGAATTAAGCATAAATTAAGGAGAAGGAAAACTCCCAAAGTCCAAAGGAGAAGGAAAACTCCCTAAAATTCCACGACCTTCCTGCTTATTCACTCCTGTGATGCCATAAATCCCTGTACATGATATTTTGTCCTTGAATGATGTACTAAATATCAATACAGGCTAACTTTATTATTTGTCTCTTAACAGATTGCAATAGGCACGGATGATGTTTATAAAACTGCAGAAGCAATAATTCTCTGTGGTGGAAAGGTTACCAGGGAACCAGGACCGCTACCCGGCATCAATACTAAGATTGTAGCTTGTGTTGATCCTGATGGCTGGAAGACGGTATGCACTCTCCCTTTCATTATGTGTTGTTTTCCCTTATTATTCAAACTATTTGCATTTAATATCTCATTTTAATGCCTTACAAGATCTTATAAACCAGCAGATTGTGATTTTTTAGTGTGTGTGGGGTTTATTTTTTAATACTTCCACTACTCTGAATTGTAGATACTTTAGCCTGTATTTTGAATTGAACATATATACCAACTGCTAGATGCTAGTACCTAAAAAGAAGATACAGTGATGTGTTGCTCTTCTGGAACATGTCATTTTAATTCAAAGAGTAGCAGTAAGCCATAAACTACATTTGGTTCATTAGTCGATATACTACCTCCGTCCCTTTTATATTGGGACAGAAGAGGGTGGCACAATTTTTAAAAAAAGTGCGTTTGTGTGGTTGATATTAATTGATAAAGTAAGAATAAAGCAAGAATGATTTTGAGCCACACAAACTTTACCAAATATGATATGAGACAATTTTAGTGGGACTTCCCGAAAAGGTAAAACGGGACAATATAAAGGGGACGGAGGGAGTACTATTTTAAATAATTTGGTTGGGTAGAATATCTAAGGTTGAAACAATTCACTGCAGCTTCGCAAATTGCAAACCACACTCCAGTTGCCACTGCAAGATTATTTTTAGGTGAATGCTATGGTACCCATAAAAGTAGTGAGGGTACCGTACCTATCATGCATTTGATTGGTCCAAGTCAGTATTTCATCATTTATTTATATTAAACTATTCAATTGCAATATTCCTATTGGTCCATGTGGCAAGTTATGTTACCATATAATTTTCCTTCATTTTAGTTTGATCTAGTTCGTTCAATCTAGTGTTATCATTTTCAATGGATCACCGCTTGAACCAGTGGTTCACTAGTTGAACCGCTTAACACGATCTTGCTTATAATAAAAAACTAATAGCATGCACGCTTTTATTTAAAAGTCGTACTCCCTTGGCCCCTTTGTCCTACGTAGGATTTTATTTGTGGTCTTGAGAAAACCCCTCTTCTCTATTTCGTAATTTGCTCTAAGAAATTCTTATCATATTCGAATTCGTATTTTGGTTTTATCGAACTTTTATCTTTACGAATTGTATTGTACTAGACATGTGAAGTTTAATTAGCAATGCAAATCTAATTATTACTAAAATTAGATTTGTAAATAACTTAATAACCTGAGATCAGTCTTGTAATCTAACATGTATCCTAAAATTTGAAGGAAGGAATAAAAACCACAATATCAAAACACTAGGCTACATAAACCCACTAGTTCATAACCATGATGTCAGGTTCCTTGTACCATATTTGTCAAATAAAGGACCTATTCCGGTTCAACCTCATAATTGGCTGGCTCACACTGGCTCACACGTCACACCGAGTCTATTGCTTGTCCAATCCAATAAATGGCTCAATCCAGTTAGATGGCCAGTTCCCCGGCTAGTTCAAGCCGAGGTTTGAAACATTGATCCTATTATCTTGGGTGGTGTAGAATGGAAACAAGATAAGACAAAACAAAAAATTAGTTTTGCATTCCTTTGTTTTTTAAATACAAGACATGAAACAACGGAGAACAGTGAAAATAGAGTAAATTTGTGTATTTTTAATTTTGTTTCTTTAAATATGTTCAAGTATTTAGTAAATGCCAGTTCCATTAATGAAATACGCATACTGGTATTTAAGTGCATATGAAATAGGAAATTCATTGTTACTATCCTATTCATTTGACAATAATATAATGAATTATTTTGAGAATTTTTTCTAAAAACATGTTTATTATAGAGGTTATCAATTGGTTCTTACTTAGTTTCAATTATTATATGTTACAACCTTCGTTCTTTGGTGGGACCCTTCCCCGGACCCCCGCCTTGCAGGGATGCCTTCGTGCACTGGACTGCCCTTTTTTTTACTACATCTGTTCTTTATTAGTTGAAACAGTTAGATTTTTGAACTATTCAATACTCTACTTTGACTTCATATTTTTTTATTAATGTATTAATAAATTATGATATAATTTTTTATTTAGATTTGTATTTATATAAATTTTCAAAATATGATTTTTTTTTTATTTTTTAGTAATAGTCAATTAAATATATTTATGGTCAAAGATGTACATTTGCAAGTGTGAAAGTTAAAACGTCGCAACTAATTAATAGAGATATTACCCGAAATGGGACTAAATAGGTTTGAAAATTCAAAAAACAGGACTGACATGTTTTTATTCCCAAAATAGGATTAATTACTGTCATGTTTTTGCAGTACCAGACTTCAAACATGACATTATTTTCCAAACTTGACGGTAATTCCTCCTATTTTGGGAATAAAAACATGACAGTCTTATTTTGGAATTTTCGAACTGTTTTAGTCCCATTTCGAGAACTTTCCCTAATTAATATTGATTTCAATAAAAAGTAAATTATTAGTCATAGGACTCCTGAGTGTTTCACTTATTTTTCATATATTATGATTTATGAACATGGTTAATAATATTTACATTCATTATCATTATCTAGTGCAACTTTTCAAAACAAGGTACGTAGTATACAATAAGGGCAACTAGGAAACTCAATATTAAATTTTCATCCCTTTACCTCGAACCAAACACAAAAGTTTATCATAAGTCCTTTCTTCCCCTCCCTTCCCTATCCTCCTCACCTCTTCCCTTCCCTCTCCTCCATTGAACCAAACAGGCAGAAAATGTTAACATATTAACTATATATTTGGGTTTTCCCGCTCCATTCACTCTTCGGATGCAGCTAGTCTTGCACATTTTCGGGATAGTTTAATTTATTCCATTTTTGTCTTGCACATTTTCAGGATTGTTTAATTCTTTATAGTTTTTGTATGAAGATGGTGCTTTTCTAGAGTTTTGGTGCATCCCGATCTTGAGTTAGTATAGTGGGTGGGGGTCTGTTTGAATCACAATAAACTAAATCAATATTCAGGAATTGAAGAATTGCTTTAAATTTAGTTTTATGGATTAACGCGGTATTGCAGGTTTTTGTTGATAATGTCGATTTTACCAAGGAATTGGAGTAAAGCCATGAGGGACTCGGTCATAACTCAAATGTAGACCTTCGTGCCATCACCAATAATTCTGCTTTATGGGGATCGACTATAGGAAATTGTAACATCTAACATTGTAGATGCATTAGTCGTTTTGTAAGCTAAAACTACATTGCAGCTTAACTTTCTTATACATTATACAGCATAAGTTGAAAACTAGAACATCATTTCTTAAACTGTCCACACTGTAGTATACCAGCAGTAAATTGCTTAGTGATTTTTTAATCCCATATTCAATTGTGATGATAATGTTGATTGAGATAGGAAACTGCACATTTCAAGTGGTGAAACGTTCTAAGCATTAGCCTTGTATAAATGTTTGATTGAGTAATGCCATTATAAATTCGAATGCAGAATAATAATGTATAGGAAAGAGCAAAAAATGTCATGTGGTTTCATGTGTTTTCAATTCGGGCATTTGCAATGGGCTGGTACAAAGATGTTTTTTTTTTTTGGAAAATTTTTTACATGAAATTTTTTACCTTAAAATTACACAGGTTCACCTTTCTTAGAACTGCCTCTGGATGTGAGACCCTCAACAAAATAAGGGGTTCTTGGGAAATATTGTTTGATGTGTGAGTTGGGCCATGCGCCTCAATGTCCGAGCAGAGGATCAAGTAAGCTTAGTATCAGGCACTATCAAATGAATGCATGACGCACCTCCCCACTCTGAGCAGTTGGCCTAGGGATCATGTTTTGGTAGAGGAAAAGAACCGTGGTCAAAGTAGGAGCCACACATACTTTTAACTAAAGTTATTGTTGGGGGGCTTAGCTCACCTGGTGAGAAGGGGTTGTCACAAGAGAGAGGTCATAGATTCAACTTGAACCAAAGACTTGAATTGGAATCTTATTCTCTCTTTCCACAGGTGTGTGAACAAACTTCAATTTATATCCTTTCACATAACTGTTTGGCCAATTCTGGGGGACCCTCTGGGATGGGGGTGCCATCCTATTTTTTTTCACTTGACCTAAATTCTTGTTGTAATCCGAGCGTTAGTATGGTTTCTTCTTTATAAATGCAAGGGTTAGTGTTCATATTGCTATTATCCTTTTATATTTTCATATTATATGGGAGTAGTGTTCATTGCCATGTAACGGTTTGCAAATATGTGCTTATCCTTGGCCATTTGTGGGACTGAGTCAACAGTCAAGGCGTCATATTTGTTGAGTAAGTAAAACTATATTTCCTCATCGAAATCCCCATATTTATTTCACATTGCGTGATATAGCATTTAGAGGGAGGAATGCCCACTTCCAAGGTTGAGATAGAAACTTGACATTAGGTCAAATCCATGCATCTTCATAGGTTGTGAAGTTCAAGAGTTTGGATAGCGGTTGTGGGATCTTGAAATGAAGAAAGTCATTCGAAGCAGAGATGTGGTATTTCCTAAAAACTAGTTTCATAAGTTTGATCCAATATATCCCAAACAATGTATCTCAAAAGCTCCATAAAACTTTCTTGTGTCATCACACATTCCCCTCAACAATGAGGAAGTGAATGATAATGTTGAACAAGAAAATGACGATCCATAGATATTAGGGATGCTCATGATGAAGAAATAAAAAAAAAATCTTGAACACTACTTAAAATGTTCAAGTTCAACATTCTACGCGAGGTATAGTTTCACAAATGAAAATACTTGGCAGTTGAATGGATCATTCTTACCAGTGAGGGGGAGCAAGAGAGTTTCCGCGAAGCTCAATCCCATCAAGAAAAATCTAATTGGTGGACATTTACGGAAGATGAAATCTTTGCAGAAGAATCAAAATTATGACTTGGTGTAGCTTCCCAAAAGAAAGAAAGCCTTGAAAAAAATGAGTTGTAAAAATGATGTCGACTTGTACTCTGGTTGGTTGCTAGTATGAATCTTGAACTTGAACAGATGGATATAAAATAACATTTCTCCAAGGTGATAAGGAAGAAATATACATGGAGCAACCCGAGGGTTACCACATTCCAAAGAAAGAGCATCTCGTCTCCAAGTTGAAGAAAAGCTTGGCGGTCTCAATCAAGGTCCGAGGAAATGGTACAAGAAGTTTGACTAGTTCATGGTGAAGTATCAATACAAGAGAACATTTGCAGACCACTGTATACCTGGAGAAGTTCACAGATGAAAAATTCATCATCTTGCTAATCTATGTGGATGATAAGCTGATAGATGAAAAATCCATCATCTTGCTATTCTATGTGGATGATATGCTGATAGTTGGTCAAGATATGACCATGATCAACAACTTGAAGCAAAATTTGTTTAAGTTTTCAGATATGAAAGATTTTGACCTGGCGCAACAATTTTTGGGCATTGAATGAGATTGTGATTGGAAGACAAGTGATTCCTATCGAAGAATATGTTTCATGCGTGATCAAAAGATTCAACATGGAGAGTGCCAAATCAGTAGGCACCCGACTAACCAATCACTTCAAGTTGAGAAAGGAAAGTTGTCTCTCTTAGAAGAAAGAAAAGGAGATGATGAAAGCGGCGCCCTACTCTTCTACATTAGGAAGTTTGATGTATGCAATGGTGTGTCCAAGACATGATATTGCTCATATTGGCAGTGTTGTGAGCACGTAGTACTTACGAAATCCAAGACGAGAACATCCAAGATGAGAACAATGGGAAGATGTCAAATGGATACTAAGGTATATGAAGGGTACATCAAAACTATATTTATGCTACGTGGGAGAGAAACCAATATGGGAAGATTATACCGATGTTGATATGGCTGGAGATCTTGATAGCAGAAAATCTACTTCTAGTTACATATTCACACTAGTAGGGTGGTTACATAAGTGTGTAACATTGTTTATGACATAAGCTGAATACATTGGGGCATTTGAAGTAGGGAAGATCTTAAGTGGCTGAAACACTTTGTCCAAGAGTTAGGCTTTCCTCAAGAGGAGTACACCATTCATTGTGATAGTCAAAGTGCTATGGATCTTAGCAAAAATCCGATGTATCATTCACACACAAAACAAATTGATGTTCGATATCACTAAATTAGAGAAGCAGTTGAGGAAGATGAACTGAAGCTCTCAAAGATACACATAAACAAAAATGTCACAGATATGTTAACTAAAGTGGTTTCAAATGAGAAACACATGCTATGTACAAGCAGGGGCGGATCCAACGTGGGGGAAGGGGGCAGCTGCCCCCTCTCAACCCCCACCCAACCCCTATATATATAATATACAATCATTAATATATATATATATATATATTGTGCTGAATATAACTATTATATACACAATTTATAATCATTTTAAACAAGGTTGCATCCGGCCGGTCCAGTGGTTGAGGAACTCCATGCGTGCCATCGTATTTTAGTTGGAATCCTTGATCTAACTTTTGATCCATATTTGTTCATTTGGCCTTTTTGAAGCTAGGGCTGGGACCGGTTCGGTTCTTACTCAAAATGAGTGGGACCGTTATAAAAGTTTTAACTAATGAAATCGGTTCGGTTCCTATATAAAAAATCAAGAACCATTATGGAACCGAACCGGTAGTAAACGGTTCGGTTCTTCCTTTTACCGGTTCCTAGAATAATTTTTTCTCATCTAAGAATTAACACATAATTTACTTTCTACAAACAACATAAACATGTCGAAAATTCAAAAAACGAGTATTAGAATTTTATTTGAAGCTCTAATCACTTCAAACATCAAAGATCAAACTTAACTAATGAACTGTGAACACTTAATAGAACAAAAAAGATTTAAATTTTCATGTAATAAATAAAAATATAAAAATCGCTGTAGTGTGAGAGCGATGAAGGTAACTCGTCATCATAGTAGCAAGAATAGGACGCCTACTTCAAGTCTTTCAAAACATAAAAAATACATTGAGTTCGCATGTATAGATATAAAAAACATTATTACATTCCATTGATTCATAATAAATCTAATAATTAGAAATATCATGAAAATAGTAAAGTAGAATATGTGCAATCATCAACAAGTTATTTGGGTTATTTTATATTTATAAAATTTATGTGATGGAACAAAACTTGATTTGTAGAAAGGAGTTTAATGTATTATATCAACCTCATGTACAATATTTATCATTTCGTTTTCGTTGATTAAATTAGAATTGTTACTTAAATATCTTAAATTGTTTTATTATTATTGTTGTGGTGATGGTTATTATTTCTATTGTAATATTATTATTGTTATTATGTTATTATTATTATTATTGTTGTTGTTGTTGTTGTTGTTGCTGTTACTACTACTACTAATATTAATTTATTTTTTATTCTTTTTAATAACGGTTCCTTAACGGTTCCATACACATATTTTTTATAGGAACCGGGAACCGAACCGTTATAAACCGCTTCGGTTCGGTTCCTACAAATGAGGTATTAATTGTTAACGGTTCGGTTCCTAGATGTTGTTAACGGTTCGGTTCCAATCGGTTCTACGGTTCCCGGTTCCAAAATCCCACCTCTATTTGAAACTGTAGAACGAATTTAAAGTGGTTATACATAATTGTATTAATTTTTTATCTAATTCGAAAGATTTAAAATACTTTAATATAGTTACAATTTTAGTTTCGCATATATTTTGTAAAGTTCAACGATGACATTTTTGCAATTAATAAAAAACTATTTTTTTACATATACTTGTATATCCACAACTTAAATTAGTTCTAAATACACCCCTCCCTTATATGAACCATTAATTTATTAACATAATTTCAAATAAAATAAAAATTGTGTGACTTGTTTATTTGTTGCGGATAAAGTGAAATTTATTGAGTATGATATCATCATTTTTTCGTCAAACTAATATTTTGTTATTTATAATTTATTTTACAACTTTTTAATGTGTTTCACTATTTGTGACATTTTTGAGACAATAAATTTCTAGTGCAAGTTCCCCCCCCACAAAAATTCTTGGATACACCACTATGTACAAGCATCGTTAGAATGAGTGAGTTACGGAAAAAACATGGAGGGGGGATTTGTAGGATTTATGCAACTCCAATACATACCCTACCACCCACTCCATGCTATGACCGGTGTTCCATCCTCCACCCATTAAAAGGGTGTGTGAATGCATGGGCTGCATGCAGATGTCTCCCAGCATTTCCCTATAAATAGGAGTGTTCCTGCTTTTCAAAAATCATCAGAAAAGAGAGTAAAAGTACACTTAGAGGATAAGTGTATGAAAGAGTTGATTTATTGTAGTTGCGTGAGCTTGACTCCTGTAATTTTTGTTCTTGTTATGAATAGAAGAATTCTTCAATCCTAACAACTAATTGATCTTCTTTTCTTATTTTTTTTTGTATGAACCAAAGGAAAAGAAAACTAAATACTCCTCAATTTTACTTGTTTTTCGAGGAATATTTGT